GAGCTCCACGAGTAGCCATGGGAAACTAGGGAACACTGTAGCAACAGAGAAGACAAGTCCCGTGTCCGGAACTTCACTCAGGAACTCTCAACAGTTGTCCTCTTCCTGTATTTATTTTATCAAGTGCAAATAACTTTTGTAATCATCATCATTCTAATGAAACAGACCTTCTGACAATCAACCTAATTACGTTACAACCGGATGACCAACAGGTCAAGCGGTCCCCTCCTTTTTTGTTTCTGGGTTAACTATCAACGTAATTTACTTACATACACTCAGAAATTTCACGCGAAGTATAGAAATACTGTGCATTTTTCGATAGGATACTTTAGTCTCTTCCAGTCTTAAGTAACTTCTGTTAAAAAGTTCAAGACTGAAATGTTTTGACCATTTGGTCGTTCGACCAATCTTCGATTTCTTTCATGAAACATAACTTAAGATAAATAATGTGAATAAATAGACATATTTCGCACGAAATGAAATCACAATATATTGCTATACGTGTGATTTTGTAGCATTGACAGGTTTAATACTGGAACATGTAAACCGTTTCCAGGAACATGGTGCTTCTGTAATGTTTGCCCCCTGAAACTGGGTACTTGTGCTTTCATTTGCACAGAATCCAGTTTCGCATATGCACTCCAAGTTTCATCTCAATATGCTGAGCATCCATTGTTTTGTATGAAGCTCCTTCGCCGTTGTAGTACGCAATTCCAAGCCTGAGGGACAGGCAGTGAACAACACTAGACCAATGACAGTATGACTGGTTGATCTATCAAAGCTACAGACCGACCGAACAACCAATCGTGATCGAAGGTCAACCCAGGCTAGAAGCATGTGTATTAACACACACACACACACACACAACACTACTCAACGCACAACCACCAACCTACCTCTACGCTAACAATGCACTGACGATGTCACCTCGATTGGTGATGAAACGTTTGCAATCAAATCGCCTAGCTCAGCGAACAAACCAGCGACCAACAGTATAGCACATTCATGACCAGTGTTGTCCTACTTTCTTTCTGCGGAGACAGGAATATCGAACGACTGGTAATAGGATGCGTTTGCCTGCGAGCGTGGCCTACTCTGGTCAGTCGCCGATAGTGGGGTTATTAATTCAGGCGCTGGAAATGCATTTGCTCATGTGAATTGCCTATTGTGGTATGTCTGGCTCCCGGAACGACTGGTTAAAGAAGAATGGTTCTGGAGATTAGGGAATTCTTGTACAATTTGCCCACTGTTCTATTGGGGTAAGCTTGAGCAAAAATACGGTGGAGTTACGGAGGTCTGAATTATCAACAGTTCTTGTTTTTGAGAGTCCTCATATTTTGTTAGATTCAAGCCCGGAGGATAATCAGTAATCTGCGGAAACCGGTATAAGCATGCTCATCATCCGCTTAAAGTCCCCGCGTGCTGTCAACATGAGTTTAGTAAATCTAGTGTTGCCTTCTGGAACCATGCTTAGTCTGGTTAAATTGCTCAGGTAGAATTACTTGGCGCGAGTTTTTTTCGGACTTTTAGCGTTCGAAACTGGATGGTAAAAACTTGATCACAACCGCGACGAATTATGGGGATCACACACCTAATTAGGATAGACCAGTGGTAAACTCGTGTTGTACTTGTCATCCACTCCCCGAAGTAAAACTTTACTGGTTCTAATCTACAGTGATCCGACTCATCTTGGACGGTGCATAGCTTCGTTCGCAGGTCACTGGCTGCAACCACTGGTCCTCTCATATAGTATACGAATTCCCTGACTAAAAAGATTGAACTAAATGTTACCGTGCTTCAGCGTATATCTTCTATCCGTTTCAATGTTGTAGAGAAACGTGACATTGTTTCGAAGTTCTGGTTGCTTTCTTGGTTTTGGTAGTGGACTGAACAGAAGGAATTAGGACTGCCGAGCTCTTCTTCGAAGAGGTAGTTTCATGCTGGAAAACTACCGTTTGTAGATTCGGAAAGATTTCTTCCACAAAACAACTGATTGCAAAAACGCCGCAACACAGATTTATTCAAATTTCTGGGAGCATCGTTTTGCTGACTGGACTCTTGTAATAAAACGAGGTTCTTTTAAATCAATGGTTCTCAAAGCTTCGCTCGTGGACCACTTAGCTGTCCGTGACAGACCCGTTGCCTGCATCACCTCGCATGCATCTCGTAAACAAATCAGTATTTCACGTAATGATACGAAATATGCCAAGACGATTCTTTCCATGAAGAACAACTTTGAGGACGCCTCTAATATGGAAATCTTATAGAAGCGGTGGTGCAATCCCTCAGAAGGACCATCATCCCAGCAAAGACCAAGTATTCCGTCCCACGCCAATGGAATCAACACTGGATCGATATCTGCCCCGACACCGACCGCCGTGAATGGACAAATTCGATTCGAGCTATTCAACAGGCATGTTTATGCAGGAGACAATCGAAGCAAAGTGAAGCAGCTTGAGGCGGATGTAGAGATCCGCCTTTCTGTGTGTTAGAATAGCTCATCGAAGTTTGGCTTTGATGCATGGATACCGGCTTACCGATAAGCGGCTGATGAACATCCATAAAAGTCCGGTATTCAAAACGACGCATGCTGAGAACTCTCAAAACTATCCACTTGTTGTTGTGTTGAAGTATGTTGAAATTAGTAAAATTTGGGATTTTTACAGTTCAGGTCAGAATGTACAGATTTCTTCCTTCCAGAAATTTCTGATGCGATTTTTTTATTGCTTCAATGTCGGTTTTACTGGTAAAGTACTCCGAACTTGTTACAGACAATAGCAACACTTTCTGACTGCTTCCCATTCCAGTGCGATACAGAGCGCTTTTGAAAACCTGACCGAGGTTTACTTCGGAAAAGAATAAGATTTCAGTACCGATTTCACCAAAGCTGGCAATGGTTGTTGGCCAGTTGGTGAATGTTGATAACAACTCTGGCACGCGATGAACAGTCTGACCGCGTGATATGGATCCCATGATTGAAGGATGAGCTGCGCTATATCCTGTCTAAGTGGGAGTTAATCACACTGCTGACCAGCCGCCCGTGGCCGAGCGGTCGCAGGTTCGAGACTCTCTGGAGTTTCGTGAGATGCGCGCTGTTGATGATTCCCAATAAGGATGAAACAGCTGTACATTGTTTCTTGGCTTTTCAGCATAAATTGGCTTCACTTACAAGACGAAATCTCCACAGAAATCCCAAATCTCCTCATACTACCAACAGTCTGTTTATTTGTACGCAGATCTATAGACCCAGTGCGGAAAGCGCAGCTGTATGTAGTGTTTTGTGTGATATTTCCCTAGCGGTTATCCGGATGGTTTGGCCACTCAAACTCTCCCATCCGTTCCCACCCTGTGGAAAACTCAATCCTGCCGTGTTCTACCTCCCCAAAAGGACCATTTTCCCTTTCGCGAAGGTCAAAGTAATCCCAACTTTGGGTTTTTAGGGGCCTGCCATCAGAATCAGAGTCAAAACGATCAACACTTTGGATAGGTAACGAAAACCAAAAAAAGCCTTACTCTCCTCGTTGCTGGTGAATTTAAATAGACAGCATGAAACAAACTCTGAACACTACTGCTTCATTGCCGCACTGTACAGTTAGTGCCAGTCACATGGTTACCATTTCTATGGCGCTGCTTTGTCCCAATTCTTTCGAGCGCCCCTGCTCAACATCACAGCAAGGGAACCATTGAACTTCGTGATTCACCTGGTTTATGTGCGACTGAACAAAAAGCGTATTTACGGTCTGGTACTACCCACAGGTCGCCTTGTCTCAGCAGTGACTGGGTGAAAAACTGTTGAGTAGAAACAGGACAGATCTCGAGATGTGACCATGACGAAACACCTGGATACAACTGGCTAAATAAGGTAGTCTCCGCTTAACAAAAGATAACTTGTCATTTAGGACACTGCTATACGTAGCTGCCGCTTTACAGTAAAAAATACAATGGAGTGGAAGGTAAGATTTGCCACCAAATGTCACAATTAAACCAAAATCAGAAGACCTAACTTGGGCCTTGCTGTCTACAGGTGATTTCCCTTGTCCAACCACACAGTCTTCAGATCAGGTGATTTGTGAGTAACCATACATCCAAATCACACAAACTATGGCGAATCACAATCAACTATCTGGCACACTCTGGAACTCTGTTTATCTCCTCACATCACTGTCGTTCTACTGACCCGTCTATGCAACATTTTAACTCTGTTCAAGCTTTTGCGCAATGACAATGTCAGACAGTTTTTAAGCCTGTCTTTGGCTGAAATGACACTGTTTTTTTTTCATCTAATGAGCTAGACCCTAAAGTACAACAGTACATCTACAACTGTAAAATTTTCGTTGTCCTGGTGTCACACTATTTTGGTTTTGGCACCTATCGTTTGGACGTTCGAATGACGTGTGCTTCATCAGTTCAGAGTTAGATAAAGCGATTCAATGTTTTTTTTTAAAAAAATAAACCGACTGAACTGAATCCCTCCGATCCATAACATCCACTGTCCTCTACTTTTATTGCAGCGCTTACGGACAGAAAAGTGACCTGAAAGTGACCTCCTGATGGATCCAATTTAAGGCTTCTAACCACCTTGCTCTTCACTGCCACTACAGGAGTGTTAGGAACATTGGTTACATTGTACGATACCAAACCACTACAGAAATCCGTCATTCGGACTTCCAGCAATCGAGGGAGCTGTCATAACGATCTTACGTTCAAGATATTCAAAGGATAATCTTGGTACTACCGGTTCTCTGATCTACCTTCAAGTGAAGTCACAGAAAAACACGTTCTGATTGTTTGACTGGATCGCCTGTTTATGCTGGCTGATCAGGTTCCATAGTATTTGTACGTAACTAAACAGACGGAAAGATATATTACTTATCCGATTCCCGTCTTCGATTAGGCGACATCTTCTCATGCAAGACAAACAGACTACACACATCCACGTGACTGAACAGTTCAACTTACCAGCATCATTGATTATCACGTACGAATGATCTATGACTTACCCGCTGATGAAGAAATCAGCTGCTAAGTTCACGTGTCCTTGGTTAGATTCAGATCAGAGGTTGAAAGCAAGCGGACTGGTTATGGGCTTGATCCAGATAGCCTTGTATTTTTATTTTTGAAAAAAAGCATTTTACGAAATATCCTCTGCCTCCATTCTAACTATGCCTTTCGAACCCATAAGATTTCCTGATTATCCGCACACGCCGAATCACAAAACAGTTCAAGGTTGCCCAATTATGTCAAGCTGTTGTGGTGATGCGTGCGCACCTATGCACACCTGCACTAACCGGCAACGTACATGTAACTCTCAGGTAGAGAGGTTACTGGCAAAAATCCATTCGATTGTGCTTAGTAGTTGAAAATGTTTTTAGTCTGTTTTAGTATGACTTACCAATTCGATCCTTCCGACAACCATTGCTAGCTACATACAGACAGACGTGAGACATAATACCGGCCGAATGGCACGGTGCGCGGTGCAGTTTTCCATCACACGTGGTTGCTAAGATGAGGTAGGAAGTGTGATATGGTGCGGCTAGGCCAATTGCTTCAATTTTAGTGGTGTGCCAGCAAAACAGAACGGCAAGACGTTAATCCTGGAGTTTACACGTGTGCCATGTACACCATTGTTGATGCTTCATCAGCGTGATATATTCATCTGAAAAATTACCAGCGGACTGAGAGAGACAGAAGCATTAGTCAGCACCGTCGATTGAACCATATAAAAGTGCACACTTCAATGAATGTTTCGTCTTTATGGCATCCGGGAGTGTACGGGAAAAACCTGCTGAGGAGCTGTCTTTTATCGCGTTGATGTGACCTGATTCAGCTTAAATTCTCTTCTTCAATGGAATTAGTGACTGTGCATTTGAAGGTTGTATAGAAGTGTTCCAAATCTTGTTTCCGTGTTTTTTTCCCAAAATTCCACGTGCTTTTTTATGTCCGTCAGAACCGATTTATCAGCAACGAACTCCTTCAGTAGCATTCTTACCACACGATCCGTGGACAGGAGCAGAGTAGAAGACCAAAATGAAAAAAATTCCCCTTAGAGAGAAATANTTTATCAGCAACGAACTCCTTCAGTAGCATTCTTACCACACGATCCGTGGACAGGAGCAGAGTAGAAGACCAAAATGAAAAAAATTCCCCTTAGCAAGAGAGAAATACCGGTTAAATCCTATCTATATTTATTTCTGAGTGTTGAAATTACTAGAAAGCACTGTACAACTGTGTTGAAAACAAAAGTACTACACTATTCTCCTAAATGCCTCCAAAGAGTTGACACTCGGAAACCAGGTTAACAAACTGCACAGTTGACCATAATTTATATCAAAAACTGATTTTTGTTCCTTGGCTGACGGGTAGGTTCATCAGTAGGCGGTCTGTGTAGAGGGGGCAACTACACTTACACTTTGTTAAGCAACCTGCAGCTGCATATTGATGTGTGCTCTGGAACGTCGCAAGTTCGAATCTCCATCGAAAGTCACCAGACAGACACAGGTGCTAAACTGAAATAGGTGTGTAGTTGGTAGGTGTATTCGACTGTTTATCTGGAACAGTTCACTTTATATCTGGACTTCGAGTGTTTTCTTTACAATAAGGCTTTCAAATAAGTCATGGCTGTACGGCAGTGAAGCATTGGTGTTGAGCACTGATGTCATTCTGTCGTTGATGATGATGATGATGATGGTATGTTGGCTATACTGAGTTCGTTGTTGTCTTAAGCACAACATCTCTTCCACCGACTGACTATACTGAGTCTCCAGACCAGTTGTAAAAAACGGATAAAGGAGTCCCGAAGTGTAGTGGTAGGATGTAGGAACAAAGTCTTGTTTGCGAAAGAATTCCTAGTTCCGCGTAAGTTAAGGGCCATCCGTCGATAAAGACGTTCAGGCTTCCTCAGATGTCGCCTGTTTAAATCGAACTATGGTCAGTGGTTTGTTCGTTGAGCTGAGCAAACGCTTCGGCACCAATCGGGGTGAGATCGTCAGTGCGTTGTTGGGGTACACGGTGGATGGAGCGGGTGTTGTGCGTTAAGTAGTGTTGCGTGCGTGTGAGTACACGTTCTGGTAGCCAGGACCTACCTTAGATAACGATTGGTTGTTCGGTCAGGCGGTTCTGTTATGCTCTCCTCTGGGTGACTGATGGCCAGGTGACACTTGAGCTCTGGTCGGTGCTGCAGTGACCCTGGTCCCGCTGGGTTCCACTTTGTGACCTTTGTTGGTCTGACTCCAAGGTGAATCTTGTTTCCTGATTTCTCAATCCGACATTAAACTCTCCTAGAGTATTCCGGGTGATATGTTGGCCGTTTGTACATAGTGGTGCGTAAGTTGAATCTGGTTCAATGTATCGGTTGATCAAATCCATTTCGGAATACATGCTTCTAGAAATTTCCTTCCGTATCTCGTGTCTCCGTATGTCGAGATTTTCTAGATTGAATCTGCGAATTTATTGGTTTTTATGTATCAAGGATAGGGGGTCATACCACCTGACGGCCTCGCTATGTTCCTTTATTCAGGTGCATAATTTCCACCCGGTATACTGTCAGGGCGCGCCGAGACAGAAGAAAAAGTACATGTGCAGAGAGTGACGCATCCCCAAGGTCACCATCGGTTCGACACGTCCGGAAAGTAGGTGAGTTGGCGGCACCCACGAAACGCGGCTCTCACCAAACGGCTTAGCAACACACGACCAGAGTAGTGGGCCTGAAAATGTTCACGACCGGAACACCACCATTAGCTGTACGAAGCGAACAAGTGAACGACCATATTTAGCCAATTAATCATCCTATATATTTACGCAGACGCTCTGTATGTTTTGTCCTGGTAATACAGCCGTGTCCCCAGTTCTCTGTCTTCTCCCTATCGCGTAGTCTGACAGGCTCAGTGCAGGCGTAACCCAATAGTTCGGCCACCACTACAAGACACAACATATACCCAACATAGAACTTGTTTCAATTGTTGCATTTGATTTGGTATATCACGTTGTTCCTGTCGGTTTTTGCCTGGTTTTCCTTGGGTCTTGAGATCAGTTTCTGTAAAATTGTACTCGGTTTATGGTCTACGAGTATCCCTTTGTGAGCTATTAATCTGACAGTGGGTTCAGATATGTTTTTGATGTAAGGTGTAACTACTCGTCTGGTCGCTTGCTCTTGCTGGTTCTGTTGTTTGAGGTCTCTTCTTCTTCAAGCTTCTTCAGATATCCCTTCTTCTAAAACACTTTGAATAGATAGTTTTCTTCCTTCTCTCTCAGTTCTGTGACGCTGCAACTTGTTTCGGTCCTCTTGAACAGGGTTTGAAGGCGGATTATCTTGTGGTCCATTGGATGATTGCTGTTGTAGTTCAGTATTTGATCCATATGTGTATCTCTACGGTATAAGAGAAGTTCCACTGTCCCATCCATCTTTGTACTCAATAAAACGCCCAAAAATGGTAGTCGGCTGTTCCTTTCCAGCTTGATTGAAAATTGGATAGCTTCCAAGGTGCTGATGAGCAGTTCATGCGCACTGTGTACGGAATCTCAATTGCGGATAACAGAACTAGTTTACAGCTGAAAACTACCATGCAGATAAAGTCACATTCACAGCTTTTTTCATATTATCATCATCATCACCATCATCGACAGCATGACATCAGTGTTCAACACCGATGCTTCATTCTATGGTCACTTCTAGTGATTTTGGCAGACCTTCCATGCAGTTGGTAATCCTGCTCCAGATATGCACCAGCACTTCGAGTTGCAGTGCACTGTCTTCTATGTGTCATCATCATCATCATCATCATCATGATCATCAGTTTGCTTAACTACAGACTTACAGTGGAAAGAAAAGGCGAGACAGGCAGAAGCACCTTGGAATAGCCTACTCCAAGGTTTACACGCCTCCAACACTCAGTCAAACAATCCTAACAGAAACATGGACGCCGGTGACATTCATCAGCCACCGTATACTTCACTGCCTCCGGTGAAGCGTAGGGAGGGTCATGTGGACACTACTCTGGAAGGTGAACAACGACAATAATACCTAACACCTTTCATTACTCGTTTTCACATCAATCTCCGCTGAACAGACGCCCTCCTATCCTGGCGTAATTACTTTGGTGAGTCCACACCAAATGGGGGAAGCACTGGACTCGCGTTTCGCTCTTATTATAGCTCATCAGCAGTGTATATCCAATGGCCGTGCCGGGGTTTTAATCTCGGACACTTGACACGCGAGGCGGGCGTGTTACCGCTACTCCACCGGTGCACGTTGGAAACACCTGAATTTTCCTGTCCGAACGGGCGAACGTGTTCACGCTTGCTCGATGTGATTGGTGTGCTCGACTCGTAATCGAACAACGACCCATTAACTGTCCTGGTTGTTTCGATTGGTTGACCCGCCTGTTAAGACTTCCCAGTCAGGCAGCGCCGCAGACGCTTGAAACCCGCTGGACACCTTTTTTGATATCTTTTATAACTTTTGATATCCCGCAAACCCTTCATTCCCTCCTGTCATGTCAACTTCTGTCCACTTTCAGGTTTCCGCCACTCGGAACTGGGAACAGAAAACAACACTCTTCTCGGCAGGTGGTAACTCGGTATAGGTAACACAGGGCCGCCAACCAACAACCACCAACCCACCGCTACGCACTCCTACGCTCCACAATAATGCACTGATAATGTCACCTCGGTTGGTGATGAAATGTTTGCAATCAAATTGCCCAGCTCAGCGAACAAGCCAACGACCACCATCTACGCTACCTGAGCTACCAACATTTTCCTCTATAGTTTACGTCATGTTCGTGATTCAATTTGGAGAGCGGTGTTTGAAGACGCTTTAGCTTATTGGAATGTTGGTGGAACAGCGATCCTATAAACGAGTTAATAGGGTAAGGTCTGTAAAGCATACCCTCATCGCTTTCATTGATGATTCTACAAATCGGTACAGGCTGAGACTGATGCAGCTGAAACTAGCGGAGAGGATCAGACAAAGTCCAAGCCCGGTTAAACCAAACAGTATTTCATGCGCCCTTTTTTGCATGTTAATACGTAAAACGGTAAAACGAAACTAGGATGAATGAAGTTAGGTATGGCGGAAAACCGTAATTTCATGTCATATGGGAACCGAGAAGACCTACAAGTAACCAGAAGAGCACAC